TTAAAATATTCCCATGCTTTTGAAGACCTAGGGCGAGATGTTTTTGTTTGGGGGCTTCGTGCGCAATCCTGTGAGGAGGAGTTGGTAGCCGTTTCAGTCTCCATTGTGTTTGAAGTGCGATTGCGAACTGCTTGTTGCTTTGGGTGACGGTGACCCACGTGTGTGTAGCGACGCGTCGACGCGGAAATATGTCGTCGACGATATTTTGAAGTCGACGTGTCGCTACAGCACTAGTTAGCGTGTTAGACAAAAAGTGTGTATGTGTGTGTGTGTGTGTATGTGTTAGGGCTGTGCAATTAATCATATTTTAATCGCAATTACGATTTTGGCCTGCCACAATTACGAAAACAACATAATCGGAAAAAACGATTATTTTGCTTTGCTAAGTTGTGACAGTGCACTACAACATATTTGATCTAATACATTTTTTAGTAATGTATCATTTATTTAATAGTTTGTATTGGTTTTTCAGTTGAATTATACGTTCAGGGTAATCAACAGTTAAAAATATACTGTTCACATTATTATTTGTTTTAAAGTTCAATAAATGGATGTTTTCAAAGTCAATGAACAATCATATTTAATAATCGTGATATTAATTATTGACCAACATAATCTTGATTATTGCCATAATTGAGCTGTGTGTGTGTAGCTATATTCAGAGCTCTGCTGCCTTGGCTACACTATTTCATCGTTGTATGATTGGTGTTTAGCTACGGTATTTAGCGTCTACAGCACCTCCGCTTTTAGGGTTGACGTAGACCCAAACTTCGCCCGGAGGTCCCCCGGTGTTGTTGCGGGAGCTGCTGCATTAGCTGCTGCTGCACTAGCTAACGCTACATTAGCAAAACAAACACTAATTTATTTTGCAAAAGGTGCAGCGGGCTTCAAACACTTTCCCTCCACTGGTTTCAACCAAGCACTAAATTAGATGTTTTCCAACCAAATACGGTTGAACTTACACTTCCCCATATGTATTTGTAAGTAGATTCGAAGATAGGCTACATGAGCTGAAGCTTGGTTGCTAGGTTACTAGCTGGGTGTTCTCCAATAAGGGGCCGGGGGAAACAAAGTTAGTAATTACTGGTTCCATGTTGATTTAATTCAATACAAATTGTTGGGGGGAACTGAAAGGCTATTACCGTACTGGTTACTTTGCAGCCCGGACATTTCCCCCAAAACACATTTAGACGCTATCGCAACATAGAAATACCTTTCAAATCCGATAATTTTTAAGACCTTCTGAATCATATTTAAGACCTTTTTAAGACTTGTTAAGACCCCGCGGGAACCCTGATTGTAACTTGTTTTAATTGTCTGAACTTCTCCCACCTCTGACAATAAATCCTGAGTGGTTACCAAAAAAAACCCTGCTCTGAAGGTTATTTTCATTTTACAAATCCTGCACTCAGCTTTGCGTTCTCCAATATCATTGAAAAGCAGCCAGATGCTGCTTCTTTTTTCGGTTTTCGCTCATTTCTTGACTTTTTCCGACGCGCTTGCATTTAAATCCGTCTCCCCGTCGCTCTGTGCAGCTGGCCTGTACCACTACACATGCTGTGCCCCCACCCTTCTTTCACATAATGGTATGATCCTAGTGTGTCCTCGCATATGATTGGCCGCATGGTGGCCCAGCTAAATAAAGACCCGCCCCTGCCTGCAAGGATTCTCAACAAAAGTAGGAGTGGCTGAAGATTCTGCTTTCCCCGACGGGATTCTGCTCTTCCAACGGCAGCTCGCGATCGGCGTGTTGGAGACCTCTGAATTAAAGTATCAAGTCACCTCAAGTCAGAAGGCTCAAGTCCAAGTCAAGTCCCGAGTCATTGGTGTCCAAGTCGAGTCGCAAGTGTTTTGTGATGTTTTTCTCTCGTGTTAGCTAGCTGGTAAGACTCAAAACTGTTGATGAAATGATACCACCAGCACCAGAAGAGCTGAAACCCCTCCTTCAAGCAGTGAACACTCTGGTCATCTCCACAGCTCAGTGTGAACGTGGGTTTAGTCAGATGAACATTTTAACCACAACTAGAAGCTCCCTAGAGGTAAAAAGCATGTCAGCCTTGCTTTTCATCAAGTGTGTTGGCCCTCCACTGAACAAGTTCAGACCAGAGGTATATGTCAAGACTTGGCTTCAAAGCCATTGCTTAGCTAACAATCCGAAAGCAAGAGCCAGAAAAATTGAGACCAAAAAGCATAATTATGAAAATCTTTGGAAACTTCTATGAGATGGGGGAGAGTGGAGTAGGCAGCCATTGACAACATTGGTCCTATTTTGTATTATCTGTATAATCTTTTAATATATTTTCATATTTTGTAAACAATTTCAATTTGCACTTAATGCCCTGTTAAAAAAAGTAACATTGGGAATGTTAACATAAAATATGTGTATTTGAACTGCAATAAAATGATGACGGATCAATATTTTTCAAAAAAATGTCTTAAAATTTTTCATGAAGTGTTTAATTTACATAATGATTTAATTAATTACGATACAAATGTAACCCTTTAGATACCAGTTTTGATTGTATACCAGTAACTGCTTTTTTGAAAAAATACACTATAATTCAATATTCTAAAAACTATTTTGACTTTATTATTAGTATAATCAGTTGATCCATCTGAATAATAAATGAGGGACTGTTAACCTACAAGATTTGTACCATAGACTTCCATTATAACCACATTTTTTTATCCCCTCCCCCCCTTTAAATTAAAGTGAAAAAAAGATTTTGCACTAATTGTCCTCTGCATTTGACCCTAAATGTTAGTGGTGCCATGGCAGCCCGGGGACCGACTCTAATTCTGAGGTGCCTTGGTCAAGAGCAATGACATGCATGTTGTTTTAGGAGTATAATAATTATCTTTATGCTGGTTGGTCTCCCACCCTCGGCGGGTTATTAGCACAAATTATGTCCCCATGTGATAAAATCCACCATCCCCCCCTGATTTTTTTTGTACAACTTGAGTACTGCATACACGATATATATATCGCCCCCCTTGACAGTGAAACGCCAAGCGTGAGGCTTTTATTAGCTTTTATTAGTCTCCTTTTATCAGCTAAATTAAATCGAGAGCAACAGGTGTGAGTTAAACAATACAATAGCCTATTCTGCTAATTCGACGTTGTTACAACATGCTACAACTTGCTAGAAACAAGAAAAGTTGGCATATAGAATTGACACGGAGAGGGAGAGAGACAGAGAGAGACCAAGAGAGACACATACACAGCTAAACAGAGAGAGACTGACACAGCACACAACAGGTGGCCTTGTGTCTCTATTATCATACAAAACACTTTTTCAAATTACTCTTACAAAATATATTCAAAACTCACTATTCACTCTTCAGGTGGGTCGTGTGACTCTGGCACCTGTTCGACTTGTACCTCAATGCGAGGGCGTTTAAGAACAAATCTATCCATCCGAAATATACAATTCATCCTAGAAGTTCTGCTGTCTGTCTGCAATTTACTCGGCGCGAGTTTTGGGGACTTTTCACTGAACGTGACGTATCGACGTATCAGTAATGCATGACGCAGACCCAGAGCCCTAGAGAGATAAGAGTTACGACACTCTTTGATGTCGCCGCCAGCCGGTCACGTGGTTTATGTATGCCGGGATAGTTCCAAACGCACTTCCGTGGCAATGCTTCTCTATGGCAAAAACAGCACAAACATGGTAAAAATAGTCAATGATTAAACCAACGCTGTTATTTTTTAAAGATTGCTTTCATATTTACATGATGTGGTTACACTTTGTATGGATTGGCACTATTTACAAGTTTCGTTATTTAACGATATTTTGAGGGGAAAGTGTGGTAGCACAAGCAGGCTATGTTGATGTCACGTCCGTAGTATAGTTGCGCTGCGCTGTCATGTTCTTCTATGGGACAGACAGACAGCAGCGATTGCGTTATTGAATGGTAAATATATATTAAAAAAACACACACACCCAAGTACTTTTTCAGCTGTAATTGCATTATTGCATACTTTTTATTGACAGTTTTGCATTTGGAGAGGCAGGGTGACAACGGAAAGCTTGGTAGCCTATTACTTAGATACGTTTTACATTTTTGGAGGGAAACGCTTGTGTTCATGTTAGCATGGGTAGCATGATCATGTTAAGACTATGAATATCATTTTACCGAAACAGTGGATGAACAATTGATATATGTGTTTGAACAAGAACAACAGGAAGAACAAAGTAAAAGGGACGAACAAATGTGTGAACAAGTATTAAGAACAGTGTATGGAAAAATACACGTGTGTTAGAACAAAACAAAGTAAAATGAATGAGAAGGAGAACAAAGAGGGTTAGGGTTCAACAGAAAAAAGATTAATTCAGCCAAAAAACACAATTTTGATTAATCTAAAGTGTAAAACAATCTTCAACACAGACCAAATTAGTGCCCTTGGACAACAAAATATATGGTGGGGCAAAGAAACGATAAATTAAATTGAGAGAGTGGGAGACTGAAAATGATTACTATGATAAATATTCAAACTATTTACAAAACTATTTACAGAAGCTCCTGTTGAACCATGAGCCAACAGAGCAACAAAAACAGGTTTGTCAATGACAAGGCCACTTTGCCAGGGGGAGGTGATCCAGCGACGAGACAATAACACATTTTTTTACAAATATTTACAAACAACTATTTACAAAAAAGCAACTATTTATAAAAAAGCAATACAGAAATCTAGGGCATCCAGGAGCCTAACCATTTTGAAAAAAACAAAAAGGTTGCTTTGTGAAAGGGACATCCTCTTCATCTGTTTCCTGGGCCCTAAAAAGCAGAGCAAGAATAGGAGCAGTGGTGAATAAGGGGGGAGAATACAGTTGGGAGCAGACTGAACAGAGGACATAGCAATATTCATGTTAAAATGTTTGCAAAACAAATATTATGGCGTTTTCGTTTATATTGCATTTGAATAGATCAGTTGTCATACCATGGTTGGATGTGCAGCATTTGGATGCTAGTCTAATCGATCCGAGAAGGGGTTCCGAATGTATGGCTTCCCTAAGGACGTAGAGCGAAGGAAGAGATGGATGGCAATGGTCAACAGACAAAACCTGTGTCTGACAGAGGACAACAACAGCAGAAAACTCTGTCATGTAAGTAATGTTCACAGAGGTGACATGACTTGTTAACATTTTAAAGGGCATCATATTTCCAAATGTAGAGAATTATGACTCTTCAATGACATTTGAAGTGTGCAGTGGAAACTGATCAAACCTACCTACCTACCTACAGGTACACTTTGAAGACGACCAATATATTGGCAACAAATCAGGAGGAAATTTGAGGTTGAGGCCAGATGCTGTTCCAACAGTATTTATACATCGGCCTAAGCCGAAAAGGAGGACATCCACGTCAAGGAGTATGCCTCCAGCTGTTAATGTCAGGAATGATGACCACACCTATTATGGCACATCAAACATTGGTATGATATATGAAGCTAACAATGTTTCCCATGTTATATAATTCAAGGATAGACTACACTCCTAATGCAACCTTCAGATTATACAGCTTCAAAACTACCAGGGTTCAGGGATTCTCTGAAGACTCATATACCACATGTAGATAATCTACAGATTTCTTCATACTTTAACATTGCCAATAGACGAACTTAGATGAATGTCACTATAGGAGTGTAGTGTACCTTTAAATGACAATAGGTGCTGTGACGAAGGTAACTTCGTCACTATGGACTGACGGCTTCAGGCCGGGTAATATTGCACTTTATTAGCGTGATTGCACAGTACAGTTGACATTACATATTTGCACATAATTTACACTAATTATTGAGGTAGTATTTTTTAACTGATTAAACCGTATTTATTGGAATGTCGTCTGGCAGGTGCTGGTCGGGTCCTCGGCTCCGCCTGAAAAGATAGGGGAGTTTGCGAGAGCGCCGAGAGTAGTTATGCTGGTGTAAGGATGACAGCGGTTGAGTAATCAGGGTGCAAATAATATGTTGTCTGTGGCTGACGATTGTGTGCACCTGGTGTCCTGTGTTGTCTCCTCCCCTCTCACCTGTGTCTTGTTAGTATGTGTGTATTTAGGTGCTGTTTCCTTGTAACTGGGTGTGTGTGAGATCCTTGTGGCTGTAGGATGTGTGCAAGGAGAACAGCAGGATTGAGGCTGTGAACTTTGTGCACATGATTTTAATAAATGCCCACGTCGGGTTATATTTTTGGACGTTCTGCCTCTGCCTCCTTGCTTGGTCTGGGCCGCTCAACGGTCAGTCTCACAGGTGCACATGTAAAGGCAGCATACACATATAACGGCAAGATTGCCTTGTTATTGTTACAGAGATTCAGGGAGATATTGAGGTGGAGTTCCAAGGGAATGAAAGGGACATAACAGACAGAGAGAGTGAGACAGATGTCAGCAGACTGCCAGGGGCCAGTATGTCAGGGGCCGACAATCAAGAGGCCACCTTACCAGAGATCAGTGTGCCAGGAGCCAGTCAGTCAGGGGTCAGCTATGAAGAGGCCAGTTTGCCAGGGTCAGGTGCTCCAGGGACCAGACTGCCAAGGGCCAGTTGTGACCGGGCTCACGTGGAGGATCTAATGAGGCAACTGAGAAGGAAGAGATTACTAAGAAAGAGAGCAGAGAGGGCTCTGGTAAACCGGAAAAGGATTAATTCGGCATTAAAAAAAAAACACAATTTGATTAATCTAAAGTTTAAACAAATCTTCAACACAGACCAAATTAGAGCCAGATTACCGTCCATCTGATGAGGTTTTCACCCTTGTTCAGAACGTGGAGCAGCTGTTCCGTGTGAGGACGAGCGATTCCCTCATGGAGTCCTCAAATGCAGTGTCACAGCTGGAACAAGAAGCCATGTTGCTGGACATCAACCTTCCCTCATGCCATGACCTGAAGAAAAAAATCCTCTCAACATACATCAGGCTGAGGTTAAGGATTGCATCAAAGTGCATCAGGGCTGAGAGGAAGGATAAACAAAAAGGGTATCTTGGCAGCAAGAGTCAGAGTAAGAAGGCAAAGAAGACCCAACAGACCTCTGCACCGAAGGTCATAACATCTAGGCCACTGCCAAACACCTTATTCGTTGCCATCGATGTACTTGGCATCTCCATTCCCGGTCCACCGTCAGCAGCCTCCAGCCTCCTCTTCTTTCAGCAGTCATCACCTGCAGCCGTTGCCAGCACCAGCCTCCTTCAGCAGCAGCACCCTCCTCCAGCAGCAGCACCCTCCTCCAGCAGCAGCACCCTCCTCCAGCAGCAGCAGCAGCAACAGCCATGGCTGACATATGAGGCTGAATAAAAAAAAAGTGCTATTTTTTTTTTTTAAAGTGTTTATTTTGTTAAAAATATACATTTTGGATGCATGACCATGTTTTAGACTCAAACTCAAACGGACTATAAACTTTAACAAAAAGTCATGTGCACGGAAATGCTGTTCAACCATTGGTCAGACATTAAGTGAGTAAAAACGCAAATCACGGCAATTTCTACCGGAGCCTCCGCCATGGAGCATCGGCACTTTCGGCAGGCTATTCTCATGCTGCTGTTAATCTGGAGATCAACAGACACTAGCGGCCAGACAACGTCCGTTAAAAAACATTATAACATAATGAGAGACGTTCTGCAGTAAGGAGGAGGTTTCACAGACGGGTGTTCTTACTTTTATGTAGCTGACGGAGAATTTTTACTTTACACAACACTGTTCAACACTTCATTCTGCTTCACTCTTTAACTAAACAACCGCGGATGTCTTGAAAGATTCTTTCGCTGAAGATTTTTGAAGACATCCGCGTTCTTGTGACACGTAAATACTACGCTTCCTATGTTTTGGTGCGGACTGCGTTCACACCAGCAATGAACCGCTCCAGAGTTCGCAAGCAAGCGTTCCGAGACCACCTATTTTAGAGGACCAGAGTCCGGTTGTTTAGTTCACTTAAGAGGTCTCGGCATAGGCGGAGTTTGACATTTGCGCTTGGGAGGGCAAACATTTTTTACTGTCGTCAGTACACAGTCCCAACTATTGCGTGGGGTCACGGATACAGTAGCAATAAAATCAGCGTTCACCGCACTGAGTATGACTTTTCCACATACGAACACAACTCGTCCAGAGCCATATAATAGAAGAGTTATGACATCTCCGTTCACTCCAATGGACCACTTTTTTTACAGCAATGGCGGATCGTGGAGCCTCTCAATCGTTCCCCGGAAGTTAGCGCCAAGGCTAGCAGAGCTGTGGAGTTGCAGCATAATAGACCGTTCGTGACGGACTTTTAAAGGTAAGAAGACGTTTAAAGATTTATATTGCGGATATTATCAGTACATCTGATTCAATTGAACATGTGTATTAAAGGATGTCAGTGGATTATCCCTAAATTAGTAGATTTAGGGAACGTTTACAGATAACAGATCAAGCTAGGATACCGAAGCAAGTTAGCAACACACGTTGAACAGCCTTTTAATTGTAAATTCCGTTCTCTTAATGTCTATTTGGTCCAACGTTGTTGAATTAGAGAAGAGGGGCTTCTAAACGGGATTGTATGCGGGGGTGGAGGGAGTTAAATATTAGATAAATATAACTTTGGTGCGTGTAAGAGTGAGTGTTTTTAGCAGAGCCATATTGTGTCCTTGTGATTATGTTGATTATTACCTGTGTGTATAATGTTGCAGCTCAGCTGATTTTGGATTGATGGCAAAGGGAGAGGAACTTAAGTGAGAGTGAACACACAAGGTAAGTTTAATACTACTGTTTTATATAAGTAAGCATACTAAACATGTATTATATCACTGTATTATATAAGTAATCTTGTTAGTAACCTACTGTATGGCAGGTGGAGGGGCAGTGATGTTACAGGTGGAGGAGCAAGACTGCAAACTCACAAGACAGAGAAATCGAAGTTTGTTCTCCAGAGAAGAGGTTGATTTCACTTCAATTTTTTCATATTTTCTAAAGATGTGGAAATGGCACAAAAAAACACTTGAGAGCTGTAACCAAGACAACTGTAACAACATGAGTAGACAGCCACCAAGGTTTTTCAAGTCCCTCTCTTACTCCATTTTGCCAACCCAAACTTCCAGGTACATGACGGGACACCTTGCTTGTTTTTGTTGTTTGCGCTCCTCTGGCAGGTGGAGGGCAGTGATCCCTTCCCTTCTTCCCTCAATCTTTGAGACTAATGTAAGTAGAAGACATGGCACTGTAAATGTTCGAACATTTAAGATATTATACCACTTAAAAATAAGAAATATTACTTTTGTTACTAAGAGTTCATACTTATTATACCTGTGTCACCTTTCACACTATAGCTGTGATCATGAGCTATGGGCTTTGTAGATACAGGTCCCGGGGTGAATCGTGGTGTCTCTTTTTGACCACAGGGCGATGCACGAAGATGGTGGGTATAGCCTCTGCTCTCAGCCTAGTCTTGCCCTTTTTTGTCTTGACAAACTGGTCTGCATCAAAATGTGCCTGCGGAGTGACTTGAGGTTACTTCACACACAGAACAACTCAGTTTTGTCTGCCCACATACATATCCCATAGTGGTTGAATACACAGTATTAGGAAACACTTTATACTTACTGGACATGTTATACTTATTACATACTGTATATAAAATATGACCAAGAATGTGAGACAACTTTATAGAAATTCATATCACATATGTTACTGATGCCATTTGTCATACTTTGTTAAACTCACAAATAATAAAGTTCCATAACTTCAGTTGGGAACAAAGACCACACCTTATCTCCCCAAGGCAATTTCCCATCCAATAGGTGTGCTATATAGGTGTGTATAACCCTTTCTCCTGTCTGTTTATCCCTCTTTCAGCACAAGAACCAGAGGGGGATTCAATGGAGCCTGAATACCTGCACTGAGACCCTCACCCTGCACCCTGAGTCTCAACTCTCAGTGTTTTTCAAGCCTTTCCCTGTTTTTTGTATTAAACAAAACATTAAGCTTTCCCAATGGTGTGGTTTTCGTTTTGTGAAAAAGTGCAAATGCAGTGTTTGTATATAAATCACATATTTTTTTGCTGTTGGTCGTGAAATTGCTCCTGCTTCCTCCGCTCTGTGTCAGTGGGGAAGCTGTACATTCGTACTCCTTTCTCTGAGCGATTGGAGCATCCCCAGGCAGCACAGCAAACCATGGTGGCGACTAGGAGGCAGCACCGCAAACCAGGACAACACGGAGGAAAAGGCACAGACAAACTGCATGATATGCTATTCAATGTTTATTGAATTCCATGTATTTGCAATGGATGTTCCTAAAACAACACATTTAACATCATCATCATGCTGCTGCTGCTAGTCCTTTGATAGTCACCTGTCGGTCTCCTGTCCTTTCTGAAAGCCATAAAGATGACATTAGTCATTTAGATAACTTGTGTCCTCAATTACCATGGGATTACTGAAACTACCATGAATTTAAGAAAATGGTAGAAATTAATCTAATCTGAATTTTAAAGCATTACTTTAGATCCCCTCCCTCTAAATATATCAATAAACATTAGAAAGTGATGCTCCTGACTACCATACAAGTTTAAGAAGATAATATTGGTTTTAAAGAATTCAAAGCTATAAATAAACAGCAACAGGCTCTTTAACAAGGCACTGTTAGCCTAACATGTAAACTAGTTGTTCATACTAATCCTAATATTATCACTTAATATTAGCTAATTCTATTTTATTTTTAAAAAAATATTGATGTAAATACATACACATATCGATTTGTTGTATAAATATTGCAAATCAAAACCTTTATTCACTAATAATTACCAAAAATCCTAGTTCTATCTCCTGTTATCAATGCATTCACATTGCCCGCCATGAACTTCCGGGGAACGATCCTCTTCTACATGAACCACGTGACGATAACCGTTTTTGGACTTCCGTTGTCGTAACTCTTCTATTATATGGCTCTGAACTCGTCCCGTCATGCCCGCCGTATACACACACTCCTATGGAAGGGGCGGTCTCTCCCCCCAACAACAGTGCATTACATAACTGTAAAACGTATCATAACTGTGCACATCTTATACTTATTTGATAACTACTATATCCCTTGGTTACTTGAACACGCTACAATATTATTAACCAGTGTCCTACTTAGTGCAGAAGTAGACGCCTTAAACGTCCCAGAAATTGGACGTTTTAAAAATCGCCGCATATCTTATTGTAATACAATAGCTGAATCACTTGTATGTAAAAAAAGCAAAGCGAGGGAACTTGTGTCCTTAACCTCATACGTCACACACACACACATCACACACACACACACGTCACAACATGCGACTGCTCAAAAATGAAATTATTTCAAACAAAACATGATATTATTCAGATTTGTATTGTAACAATCATTATATTACATCTATTAAAATATTGATATACGAAATATTTGTAGTGGAACAGTTTTAGAAGTAGTAATGCTGTAACATATTTCAGCCACTAGGGGGGGCAACCCCCCCCCCCCCCCCCCGCAAAATCCGCCTATGGGTCTCGGTCTGTGTTCACACCGACCCAAATGAACCGCACCAAGCGGCTAAACGCACCAGGGTTCGATTCAACCGGACTATACAAGGCTCTCTGAGGTCTAAGCCATTTTTTCACATGTTAGGCTCATCTGGACTTTTTTTTTGTAAAAATGCTATTAAAACATGAACCTTGGTGACCATTGGGCTGGTCTGCATGGTCTGCCTACAAAACAAAAATAAAAAAAGTTTTTGCAGCCCCAACAACAACTTCTGATCAGCAACAGACTTCATTCAATGCTCATTGGATGCATATATTAGATAATAATCTCTATCTAACTCATCTACAATCTACTTCCAGCATGGATAAATGTTCATATCAGACATCCATTGTTTGTTTTATACACTTCTTGAAATCTTAAAGTTGACTTTGACTGATGCTCTCTTCAGGAAAGGGCAAGCTGTTCTTCCTGAGGAGGCTCTGTCCTTCAACGTGTGCACGAGGCTGCTGCAGATGTTTCAACAGTCTGTGGCCAGTGTGCGCTTCTTTGCCGTGGTGTGCTGGGGGGGAAACACCAACACAAGGGATGAGGCTGAACAAGCTGGTGAGGAAGGCTAGCTCTGTAGATGGAGTACAACTGGACAATCTGGAAGAGGGGAGGAGGAGGGGGAAGCTGGACTTTATCCTGGATAACCCCTCCCCCCCTCCATGCAGAGCTAGTGAAGATGAGGAGTTCAGACACAGACTCATCCCTCCTCTCTCTCTCTA